GACACGTGTATCGGTTGTAGGGTTTCGTAGGTCTTGTCGTCGACGTCCACATGGATGGCCCGGTCGGCGCCCATCGCCAGCGCCGTGCGGAGGGTCTCCTGACACGACTGCGGGCCCACACTTACGGCCACTATCTCTGCGGCCAACTTCTTCTCCTTCAGCCGCACCGCCTCCTCGACGGCGATCTCGTCGAACGGATTCAGCGAGTGTTTGACCCCTTCGGTGATCACTCCCCTCTTGTCCGGTTTGACACGAATCTGGGCATTGGATGAGACAACCATTGAGTCCATAATGGGCTACAAGTGATGGATGAAAGGCTGCAGACAACTGATCCCTACCTTCACGGCGTAATCGATGACTCGCTTACAGCCGACGAGTATTCTTAAGGAACCCATGGATTGTCGTCTCCTATGAAGTGATTTTGTACTCAATTTATACTCCAAACAGATCTCAAACTGATTGCGAGAGTGGTGTCAGACCTTTGATCACAAGAATTATCCTCAAAATGATAACAACTTTTTCACTGAATTGTGGACTTTTGACATAAACACTGAATGAGTCGTTCAGACATCACGTGTTTCGGTGGCAAAGGGGTGTAAAAAACTAATCAAAAGTTATTTACGTAAAGAAATTAAATGGATAAATGAGTTGTATAATACATTTTATGCAAATTACACATTATCTAGTAAGTTTTTGTTTGAATAAATTAATTATTATCTTGTATATATGGATCATTTTGCATAATAAATTAATAATAATTAATTAAAGTCAATGGGCTATAGAAGTTAAAGCATACTGTATTTCCGTAAAAATGTTTATTTATAGTCGGGCCCTTATTAGATCACATAACGTATTGGTGTTCTAACGTGAAAAGGTACTGAACATGCGTGTGATAGGCCAGTGTCAATGATATCCAATCACTTTATTAGGTCACCATATCGTCAATGTCTTCGTCACTATCTCTTTGACACTAAAAGTTTTGAATTGATTTGCAAACCATTCGCACCATTCAGTGATCAACACATCCACAGACACACCATACGAGTGGTTCCCATACATCGCTCGCACACCACGAGAGACCTTCATCCACGCGATCGCCACTTACTCAACAGATCCGGAAGAATATGTTCGGAAGAGTGACTTTCTATCCGACACTTCTGTACAATGTCTTCATGAACAGAGTGTCCACCAGACGATGGTTCGACCGAATCGATGATAACTGTGTGTTGGGAGCGCTTCCCTTCCGAAGTATCACATCCGAGGTCTGTGTCCCACTCATAATGCCATTACAGAGACTGTGTCTAAACTTTCTTACCACTGATTGCGTACAACAGTTGATAACTGAAGAGAAAGTCAAAGGCGTGGTGTCTATGAACGAGGACTTTGAGCTGAAGTTCTGGGTCACGACTCCCGAGGAATGGCAACGACTGGGCGTCAAGTTTTTGCAGTTGAATACCGCAGACATACTGCA